GGGGCAGGCTGGAGGGACCGCTATGTCAGCTGGCTGGCTCTGAGTTTTGGGTGAGTATATCTTTGTGATTTTAACACCTAGACACAAATGAGCAGTTAGCCCTTGCAGTGCGGGGGTAGCCCCACTGTAAGGGTTAATTTAAAAAATCCTGGAGTTCTTCTTTAACATAAAACTATATCAACAGAGTTTTTGGGATGGATAAATAAAGATTAAGGCTCGATTCACACAATTGTGTTGTGGTAACATGTTATGCGGGTTGGTGTGCTGCAGTACCAACCCAATACGCCTGCAGTGCTGCACACCACACTGCACAGAAAGGCACTTCCACAGGAATAACTGCTACTGAAATGCAGATTTCAACTAATTACCAAAAGTCAACAGATAAACTTTTATTGTTCATCATTTCAGCTCCATCTCTAATCACTCCATTGTATGTATGTAGAGAGCACATAACTGTTATACGAAGGACATAGTTGTCTTTGTCATGTGGGCTGTGATTGACGGCCTGGATTCACATTCCCTTTGCTGTGCAAAAGTCAGGATAGAGGTGTCCAATGGGGGAATAACAGGGTCTCTGCAAAGAGACAGGAGCAGTTTTTGTTTGTGGATAATGTTTTTACATTTTGAGATCACCTAATATTTATAATCGTTACACTGAGTGGCCAGATTATTATGACCACCTGACGTTTGTAGGCAAATTAGCTATAATTTTGCACTGAAGTTGCTAGAGGGCCAGACCATTATAAATAGGGAAGCAGTTTGTTTACCACGACAGTAGAAGTAATTTTTTTGTGAAGATATGGCTAAACAACGCGATTTAACAACCATTGAACGTGGGATGATTGTTGGTGCTCGGAGCCATGGAGCGAGTATCAGCAAAACAGCAGAATTCATTAAATGTTCAAGAGCAGCTGTTGTTAAAGTGTTTAAAGACTGGACTGTCAGCCGAAAATCTGGGTCTGAACGTGGCTGTCAGCGACTAGCCAATATTAGGGCAGAACGGAGAGTGGCAAGACTGGTACAAGACAACAGAAGGGCAACAGCGCATCAAATTACTGCAGATCTTAATCCGGGATCCTCTCAAATGATCTCTGAACGCATTGTTCGCCGTACACTGCATTTAATGGGATATGGAAGCCATAGGCCTGTTCGAACACCTTTGCTGTCTGCAGTTAACAAGATAAAACGTCTCCAATGTGCACAGGAACACAAGGATTGGACAGTCGAGCATTGGAAAAAAGTCATGTGGTCCGATGAATCACGTTTCCAGTTGCATCATGCAGATGGCAGAGTGAGAATTTGTCGGGAACGGCATGAAAGCATGCACCCCACATGCATGAGTACAACCCTTCAAGCTGGTGGGGGCAGTGTTATGGTTTGGGGCATGTTTTCCTGGCATGATTTGGGCCCTTTCATTCGTGTGGAACAACGTCTGAATAGCACAACATACCAAAGTATCGTTGCTGATCAAGTTCATCCTATCATGTTGATGGCGTATCCCAATGGAGATGGCTTCTTCCAACAAGACAATGCGCCATGCCACGGTGCTCGTATTGTGCAGGAGTGGTTTCAAGAACATGAGGGAGAATTTACCTTGCTTAGGTGGGCCCCACAATCACCAGATCTCAATCCAATTGAGCATTTGTGGGACGAAGTTGAAAGAGCTATCAGGCAGCTGGTTCCACAACCATCAAATCTCACAGAACTGGGCAGTGCTATTCATCAGGCAAGGTGTCAGATTCCTCACATCACCTTTCAACATCTCGTGGAGTCAATGCCAAGAAGAATCGCCGCAGTATTGAAGGCAAAAGGTGGCCCAACAAAGTACTGATGGGGTGGTCATAATAATCTGGCCACTCAGTGTATATTCCCCCATACAAGTTAATATAAATGAAGGCAAAAGTATGGTAAATGCATTGCAAATGTACGACAAAAGCACAGCAAATGCTTTTTAAAATCCCAAAAGCTATGTGCACTAGTATAAAGGAAATGCAGGAATCATTGTAAATTAACTTCTCTCCATTTCACCTATGCTTGAATATCTATGTATCAGAAAATTGATAGTATTAAAGTCTAAATTAAAACCCAAATTATGTTTTCTATATTTGGATAGAGTAGTGACAGGTCAAGACCTATGTCAGGTTTTAATTGCTGTCTGAGTCCCTATTAAGGAGATTCATCCTCTCAATATGTCCCGGAGATTGCGGTCACCAAAACTGAAAGTTGGGGACACTGTCTAAGAGGTCATTACCCTCACCTTGGAGAGATTTCCTCTCACTTCCTGTTGTGTCTACAAGACAGGGAGTAAAGGAAAATCTCCCCAATAGGACACAGATAGCCAGGAAAAAAATAAAGGTTTCAACCATTGTCTTCTCTATCCAAAAATAGTTGGCTTCTAAAATACTTTAACTTTACTTAAAGCTGAACTCTGGGAATTACACAAAAACTACATTTTCAGTGGAGTCCCCACACTGTAATGGTTAAATCCTTTAAATCATTTTCTGTACGGTGCGCTGGCTGGCGGTCACGCTCTGATGTCATCACATACAATCACTGGCAAACCTTACCCCTAGACAAAAGGAGTCCCTTGCAGTGTATCTCCCCCTTGCAGTGCAGGGGGGGATACACTGCAAGGGTATTTTTTGTGTAATTTTCAGTGTTCAGCTTTAAAGGAGTATAGCAGACTTTCAGTTGATTCTAGTTATCTAAATGATGTTTTTACTTAGGAATTGTTAAGCACATGCAGTATATAGTACGGCTTTTCTAGCTAATTTCTACGAAGCAGTCTCTGCATTTAATGTGTCATTTTGGCGCCCCCTAGAGAACTTTTGTTAACACAGTTTATAGGTTATCTAGCTGTCCTTGAATTTAATTACATTCACATTCTGTCTCTGATATGCAGAAGTGTATGCGACAAATCTTTGCATCTTCTTTGCTCCTGTATATAACACCGTTGCCTATAATGTCACAGGCTCGCTTAGCCCCTACACACCTGGCTATATATCTCTTTATCTTCACTGTGTTCCTGCTCAAATCCTCTGTCTTTCTTTATCTTAGAATTGTGCTTTTCTCATTTATCTCTATCTTGTAAAATCACCTTCCCCAGAATCAATTCTCTCCTTTTTTTCTCTTGTACCGTTTCTCAACTTGCATATTATCACATCCATCAACATCACATTGTAATCAATAGCGTTGTCTTACATGTTTGGTCAGCCCTGTGTCCTGTAGTCATCATCTATTTTTCTATATTCATCTATCTATGTTATCTATTTTCTTAGACCAGCAAGTATAATCATCATACCATGTTAATATTTAGGTATTGGACAGAAAGGTGTAAGAGGACAATCCTCATAAAGGCTTATTCACTTAAGCAATAGTTATAGTTTTCCTAACAACTAATTAGAACAATTTTATGGGATGCAGTTGTTGTTGTGTTTTGCCCATTGTTCTTTTCCATGCTAACATACACTAACTTGCCAAAAACAATGTCACTACCTGGATTTAGCTAAGTAAATAGATAAGAGCCTTCCATTGGATAATAGGTTTCTTCTACAACGTTATGTCCCCCCAA